GAAAATTCACTGTTCTTCATCTATTTTGTATATAATTATCATAAATATGGGAATTTAAAAAAAAATTAAGTTACACATTCTCATACAGTTTGATGTGACATCTAATCAGGCCTACCTGTGAGCTGCTGTCAAATGGGGCAGGTCCCTCTGCCCAAGCCCCTTCCACCACCTGACATATTTGTGTCTTCCTTCTTGGCTTCCCCAGTTACATCTCATTTAGCAATTGTTTAGCTACTGGGTGAGCAGTTATTGAACTGATTTCAGTTGAGGGAAATGGCAGATGGAAATCTAAGTGAATTATGCAACCTGTGGCCATATAATTCCTAGATTCGAAATGAGGGAAGAAGTGGAAGCCCATTGCCAAGAGTTAGCTAACACTACCTAGTGTGGTGACAACCAGCCGTCTCACCAGGTTAAATGTCGCATAAAACCACTCTCTCAGTAGTACAGAGATGATCTAGGAGTGTTAGTTATTACACTAGACTTCACAATATAATTTCTAGAACTATTTTATTTTTATCATCTATATTAAAAGTATGCTGGGTTTTAGGTTACAACAGACCCTGTTATTCAGTGCAGACAAAATTTCCCCTAAGTATTTGGAAATGTTCAAAGCAAAGAATTCCAACAAAGACTGCTAGAGTATAAGGCAGTTCTAGGATGGATGTTTAGTAACATTTCTCCTGAAAATGGATGTGAGGATGTAATCTATCCTTTCCAACTTTGCTAATACCACCAAAAGTATAAAAGAGTCTTGTAACGGACTGGCTGTGGTGCCTCAAAATCTCAGCGTGTTTAACAGGGTGAATGGTTTTTCTGACTCATTGATGAATCGTGTCATTATCTCACCTAGCTGTAAAGAATATTTAATGATTATCTACAGAGATTTTCAAACAGTAGTTGAAATGATCTTGAGGTAAAAAAAGAAATGCACAAGTTCTGGCAGAATCTCTGTCTCTGGAAAAGAAAAAAACAAAGTAGACTACAGAGAATGTAAAGGAAGTCAGGAGAAAGAGATGACTTGGATATCTGCTGTACTGTCCTTTCCATTACAGAACTAAAACTAACAACTAGGCCTGTTTGTTACGGGTACAAGGTAATTTAAGGTGCATGTTTTTATTATGAGTTTTGATTATATAGGGTGGTA